GCTCTTGAAGCTTGTTGATTATTAAAGTTGTGAGTTATTTTTTCTTAACTTCTTTCCTTGAATATTAATTAATAGTTCTTTCCTTAATACCATCTCTATATTAATGTTGAGGAGTGTTGCTAAGATGACAATTAGTTAACATCTCAACATTAGTTAGAATGATATTTTCTTCCTCTATATTAATGTTGGGGAGTGTTGCTAAGATGACAATTAGTTAACATCTTGATATTAATTATACTAGGATTCATCTTCTTTAATAATATTCTTCCTTGAATATTAATTAATTCCTACTCATATTTCATATTAATATTTTGAACATTACTTAAAGGATCAACTAGTTTTGTTTCATATATTAGTTACTACTAGAAACGATCAACGAACCGATGGTTAATCGTTGATGGTTTCAGAAGGAAGTAACTTCGGTTTATTAATGCACGGTCGTGGTTAATAAACTTAAGAGGGATTAATTTTGTTGGTTAAACCGAAACCGTTGTGTTGAAGTTATCAATCTCAATTGATTTCATCAAGGAGTTAGAAAGATTAAATGCAACTATTAAATCGATATAAGGCGTTGTTCTATATTTGATTAATAGTAAGGGTTATTAATGAACGGTCGTTGTTAATAACTACCCTCGATGAAGTGGATATACTCTCCGATTGAGTATTCGAGAGGGAATAAGTTATAGATATGGCGATGATCGACTAAAATATATCAAGTGGAAAGTAGCAATGTCAAGTCCTTTTCATCTTTGAATTAAACGCATATATGTTGTTCATCTTAGTTCTTAATTAAATTAAATCATTCAAACCCAAAACCCCCCTTTTGATTCATTAAGTTCATAAAAAGAGAATTATTCCTTTCCCTGTGGATACGAACTCTACTTCACCTATACTACGTATAAGTGTTTAGTATTGAATTTATTTTGACGCACCGTGACAAAGTGCTCGTCAGGGGTGCAGAGATCGTTCTGGTATGCTCACAATCCTACTCTTTTTCATTTTATAAAAATAAAAATAAAAAGAGGTTGTTGAGTTGAAAACCCACAAAGTGCAACTCAAGCAAAAATTAAAGCAATAAAATAAAGAGTGAGGTTGTGAGAATTAAAAGAAAAATGTGGGAAGCTGGGATGAAAACCTGAAAGGGCACCTAGGCAAAACGAGAGAATGAGAGAAATGTCTATTTTGCAGGATCCTGAAGATGATAAGTTTAAAAGAGAAATGAAGATAAAGATGAAGTTGAAGACCCCGTTTTACTTTAATTACTATTGGGGATGCTTTATATTGTGGTAAAAACACTCTTGGATGTTTTGTGTTGATATTCTTGTCATTTAGAACTTCTTGGATTTGATTTGATTTACTCGAGGCGAGTAAAGGTTTAAGTGTGGGGTGTTTGATGCACACTAATTAGTAGTATATGTGTTTCACAATCATTCTTAGACATTTCTCTCTCCTCTGCAGAACTTTCCACCACACAAATCCCACTATCTTAAAACCTATGACTAGTGAAAACCTAAGTTAAATATGGAACGGAGAGAGGACTTTATTTCTTGTTACATTGATTATTTTTTTGAAAAAAGGAAATTTTATTGATATTAATATTGAAAAAAGGAAATTTTTTGTTACATTGATTAATAACTTCTCTATTTGTAGGAAAAAGTATCCATTTATGGAACAAGATTATTGGTTAGCTAAGCCTAATGAGAGCGACAGCGCGTATTCACCCTACCCTATAGCTTTAGGTAGATATTCAATTATTCTCTTCCTTTACAAATGCTTATGGTCCAGCGTCCAGGTCCCCATAAATAAGAAAACACCAAATGAAAAGAATTAAAAAAGAAAAGAAACAAGGAAAAATTGGACTTTGCAGATTAAAATCGCACTACACCATTACTATTATTATTATTATTATTTACAAAAAATATTTTAAATGCCAAAAAATTCCGTGATTTATCACAAGGGATTCACAGCCAACAAATAGGGAAAATCGTTTTTGCACCCATGTTCACATCGAAAATGGATATTGCGTCCTACTCCTGGCTCCTTAACACAAACGTAATGGCGTGCCATCTTAGATTTTATTTAAAACATGAGGTGGGAACTCAAATTTAGATATGTTTTGACATAGGATAATTTTGAAAAAATAATTAAAAAAAGATATTTACTTGTGTTACGATCCCACACAGGTCAAGTGTGGGCTTGAATCGCTTGACTGGTGGCTTATAAGGCTAACCGCAATCCAGCACCGTCAATAAATCTAATTCCACTCCAGTTTATACGTATTCACTCAGTCAATTCAGTTTTCCTCTGCAATCCAACACCGTCAATATATCCACTCAACACTTTTTTTAATTAAATGCATAAATCCTTGGTTATATACTTATATTATTACACAACATTTATGTGTTAATTTTATTTTGACCAATAATTATTGTTTAAAAACTCAAACATTCCGATGTAAAAAAATAAAAAAAGTGAATTTTTTTATAAGTATTAAAAATGCGTACATGAGTTCAATTTGAAATAAATTTAAAACTATTAATTTTTTTCTATATTTCTATATTATTAAGTTCTCATTTTATATACTACTAGTGTGGACTTGTTTAATATTAAATTTAAATCAATTGAAACACATTTTGTCAAATTAAAATACCAACAATCAATTAGTAGAAACACACATAATATTCGGTACAATAATTAAAAAAAGAGGAAGAAATCATAATACATTACAATAATGGGAAAAGCTAACAACAGTAGTAGCATTATTCAACTCATACGAATGAAAAACAGTAAATAACATAAAAGTAACCCACTACACGTCGTTCCCGTGATGGCCCCACAAATGATTCACGAGATCATTTTTAAGAGTGCTCCTGATGCGGTTATGTCGCACCATGTAGTCGTGCAAAGTCGGGGCATCATGACTAAGATCAAACTGAATGTGCGGAACAGTATAGTCATACTGCGCACTATAGTCTTGAGTACTTGCATCATCATCAGTTTCTTCATACTCATCTTCTACAATCATGTTGTGTAAAATAATGCATGTGAGCATTATATCACGTAATGTCTGTGTCTGATACATTCGACTGGGTCCTCGTACGATAGCCCATCGCGTTTGTAAAATGCCAAACGGTCTTTCCACATCTTTGCGATATGCCTCTTGCTTAGTAGCAAAGAGGCATTTCTTGGGGGTGTCAGGGTTACTAATTGTTTTAACAAAAGTCGTCCAAGTGGGGTAGATTCCGTCGGCTAAATAATAACATTGATTGTACCATCTTCAGAAATAGACACCCAAGAGTTACACAAGAATACATCTTCATTGTAACTCCAATTAGAACCCCTCTTTTGTGAAGACATGTTATTAAGTAGTATTACAAATTGCTAAAATTCAAATACTCCCTCCGGTTCCTATTAAAGTTCTCACTTTCCTTTTTGGGATATCCCTTATTTAAGTTCACACTTCCATTGTAGGAAACAAAACAGTGCCAAACAGTGTCCAAACAGTGCCAAACAGTGTCCAAACAGTGTCAAACAGTGCACTCCACAGTAAAGTCAAATTTATTTTCTTAATGTGTGTGAAGTCAAACTGAGAACTTTAATAGGAACCGGAGGGAGTATAAAATAGAGGAAGAATGGTGATTGAGGTGTATTGAAATGAAGATATGAGTAGTGTTTATATAGAAATCTATGTCCAATTTTTTATAAAAAATAATCAAAAAATAAAATAAATTATTTTACCTGTTAGATCTAATTTTCAACGTTTGATTTACCTATTTTTTTGTGTGTATCAAACCATTGTAGCCGTCCGATTTAGCTACCTCAAATTTTTTAAACTAAAATCCCACAACATCCCACATTCCCACTAGCCTTCATCCGCAGATAATTAACACACCAGTCCACTTGGAGCTAGGGGTGGACTCGGGCCAGGCCAACCGGCCCGGAACCGGACCGGCCCGCCACTGTGCGGGCCCGGACCGGCCCGCCACTGTGCGGGCCCGGACCGGCCCGGGAACCGGTTCGTTGAGCGGTTCGGGCCACCCGGCCCGGTGGATTCTCGGTTCGGGCTCGGGCCCTTCAAAAGGTGAACCGGCCCGGCCGGTTCGGGCCCGGGCCGGGCCAATTTTAATTTTTTTTTGAAATTTTTTTGAGTTTTTGGGTTGGGCTGGTTATTTTGGGCCATTTGAGGTGGTTAGGGTTGGTTTGGGGGTGAGGGGGAGGGGTGGGGGTTAACTAGGAAAAGCCCAAAAAAAAAAAAATATACCCGAGGCCCGGCCCGGCCCGGCCCGGACCCGGGGGTTACCCGGACCGGTTCCGGGCCTCCCCTTCTTGAACCGAGGCCCGGCCGGGCCCAGGCCCGAACCGGGCCCGAACCGGCCCGAGTCCACTCCTACTTGGAGCCAACTCTCATGCACCAATACAGTCCACATATTTGCTCTCAGGTTGTCAGAAGCATTTTAATTCTGTCCACTCCGGCCACTTCTGCAGGAGAGAGTCGATCATCCGGCCACATATCGCCCCCCAGGGATTTCCAAACTCCTTGTCGCTCCTCCGTATACGAAATATCCTCCTGGTTGCAGCTCTTTTGGGGTGAAATCCTCATATTTGGGGTTTTCACCCCTCCATTGCAATCAGTCTAAGCAAGATGTTCCATCCTCTTAATCATCTGGTCTTTAGTGAGTGCTAAGCTTATGGTATTGGTATGAGTCTAGTATGAGCTAGGTCCGTAACAATTGGAATCAAAGCCCCGGAGGGTGCCAACCGTGACCAACATAGCCGTGACCAACAAGGACGTTGTCTCTTCAAAGTGTGGGGTATTGCAACGATCCCACACTGGTCAATTATGAGCTTGACTGGTGGCTTATAAGAAATGTGTTCTCTCCTCTTAATCGGCTGGCTTATTGGGAGTGAATTATACACCTGGGCTTATGGTATTGGTATGAGCCAAGTATGGGCTAGGTCTGTAATAAGGAGAAAAATTAAAAATGTTTTTAATTGACTGGATGAGATCAAACTTAAACATGTTAGCCCCACTTAAACACTAGTAAAGTACACATAAAACAGATCAGACTTTAAAAACACCAAAATAGACCAGAAAATATCAATAAAAATATCCTAACTAATAAAACAAATCTCCACTCAGACAATGATTTTGAAACACAGATGCATCTACATAGTTTGTACAGGCTGACATATCTAAAAGGGGTGCGCTCACCTTCAACTTATGTCTATTTTGACAGTCAACCATACATTCCTAGCACCTCCACAGATAATCTATCGCCAATTCTCCCGACTAATAATGTGGGAGGTTAAATAAACTACTCATATGCCCAAACTCCCATAGTCACTTCCTCTGCATCTTGAATCTAGATACTGGCTTTGAGGCACGACCAACACTAGGTTGCATATCAATGTTGGGCGAATGTTCCACGATAGAACCAGTAAAAGCCTGCACATTAACACTCTCAGCTCATATACTGAACATGAGTATCTAATAAATTAATACTAATGTCAGTAAAGGTCTCGCATGAGTCAGTGGACATACCTTGCTAGCATCAAAGTGTTCTTCAGTTCTGTTTACTGCCGCCTGCTGCAAACAATTTACTTCACCAATCAATCATCATGTGTGTATACAGTATATAGCTATACAGTTTAAGGTTATGTAATTGGGAAAACAAAATGCAGCCATTACTACATTTTAATCTCGACAATGCGACAGACTTGCTGACATTTCATGTCTCGTTTTGATGTCCTTATCAAGGTTGTTAAAATCGCGATTCGAATCGTAAAATCGTACGATTTTACGATTCAAAATGATCCAATAGATTCAAATCGTATATAAAATCGAATTTGAACAAAATCGGATAAAATCGTAATTAAATCGTTCCAAATCGTTTAACCTGGCTTTAAGAGGTGCTCTCGATGATGCTAAAAACAGTATAGAATTTTTGCAATATAGTACCCCATTATTTTTATTGGAGTTTACAAAAGAAATATTTATCAAAAAACGGTATAGCTTTTCGCCAATAAGCACTTTTTAAAGTTTTTAATGTTTTTATACTTTTAAAAAGCACTTTTAAAAATATCACACCAAAATCATTTTGAAGTGTAGGCACACTTTTGACCCAATCCAAATCATATCCAACATGCTCTAATACACTTTTGTGAAATGCAACTATAGTGGGGTCCAAATGCTAAATATTCTTCTGACTTGCAATAGACCGAATGGTCCAGTTTTCTGCCATGTTTTCTTTATGTTATATACTGGAGACTCTGAGTATGATGATTAGCTGTAGTGTTAATGGAAATAATTTTTTTAAAATGACATATATCTGTGTAACTGACATTTTCAGATTACACCAATTCAAAGGAACACAGAAGAAAAATGAGTGATGAGAAGGGACATATAGACAGTTGCATGATATTGATACCTTGCTTTCTAACACAGCTATATTGTCCTTCAGTATAGGAAGCTTTGGAGCAACATTAGTTGAGCTTGTTTGACGAAATGGCAAGCATTCTTCATGTAAGTACTCACCTGTGATGAAGTTAATAAATGGGGCTTTATTTATTCGAGAAACCATAAAGAAATTAAAGGGATATAATTTCATTTTATGCACAAAAATCCTGTATAATTGGGATTACATGTGATAATGTCTCACAAAAAAGATTTGACGTGTTCAAGCATTTAACGTGTTCCATGCGACACTATTAAGTCACAGATTTTGTGTTCAAGCTCAGCTACTTGTGGATTTCACGTACTTCCATCCAAAAAAGAGTCATGTTCTAGACTCTAGTAAGCCACAAGGTGCAGCTTTTTATTAATTACCGCTCCTTATAAGTGCCGCAAGGTCTGATGAGAGTAGGTGAATAAACCAATTTATTGGTTTTACATGAATTTTACTCAATATTTTGAACTTGACTCTAAAACCACTCTTTTAGACAAAAAAAGGTTCTTGAAAGAGAAACATTTGTGACCAGGCAGGTGTTTTTGGTGTGTTTATTTTCTCTACTTGATAGCATGACTAACCTTTAGGTAGTTGAGCTTGTCCATTTGAACCTTCTGCCTGCACTTTGAAATTTCACATATTAACTAATTATTTAATAGAAGTATATATAACTCAGGGGACAATTAACCTACGCAAATTGGATAGCAGTGAGGTGTTCCTTACTTTCGAAAGATCATGATTTCTTGAAGCTGCCATTATAATAACTTCATTTGACTCTGTTCTTGAAGAAGTTACTGCTTTTGTCATGTTATTCAAACCACATACCTAATAAGGAAAAATAGAAAGAGACAGAGGATAAATGGAATGCTTCTAGACTGATATGATTAAGTGAACCCCTCAGTTTTGTCACGTCATGCCTACTATATAATTTACCTCTGAATTTCCCATTTGGATGGCTTCTCCAGATTCATCCTCACTAATTTCATTGGCCTTTTCAGCTTCTTCCTCTTCTTTCTCAAGTTCAGCAATCCGAGCTAATATTTGAGCATATTCTTCATCTTTAAATTTTTGTGTAGCATCTTCTTCTTTAGAAAAACTACTAGAGTCCATGTTTGAGACCCCTGGAAACATTGAAGGCAATTAAAGAAGAACCATATCTGACTATGTAAGAATATTTGGGAGAAAATTTGTGTTGCTAGGAACTAAGAAAGTACTACGCATTAGTTTGTATTTGAAAGAAAACTTGTTTTGCTATGAGCTATAAATTTTATAGTTTGTACGACAAAATTTTGGGACAGGCATGCACTATTTATAGGCATAGAGTCATCTAATATAATAGATCCTAACTTTCATTACTTAAAGTATTACACTAGGATACTGTCATATTATTAGTTACATTACGCATTAGGAATCTGATATATTACTGTTGTAATGGAGATCTTTGCCGCCCCAAACACTGAGCTGGACTTAGTCCACCATGGGTCAGGCCTCAAACTGCTCCTCACGCATCCTATGACGAGCCAAATGGGCTAATTGAAGATATGAGGGGTCTGCTTTCTTACTGGACTGGGTCCGATGGCCAAGCTGAATGCACCATGGCCCAGTTATAGTTATAAGAATCTTTGCCAGGGTTGTTTATCACACTGCATACTGTCTTTTGTCTGGAAGGGGGAGCTAGCCTTGTAATACATACGTACATAGCGCTAGGAGAACTTACAGACTTACAGTCACTCAAAACCAAACCAAATTCTAAGGTTTTATTCATCATGCAACAAGATACAATTTTTACTCTTGGAAGTTAGAATATGGTGTCTAGAATAAAATGCTATAGTTTTTGAAAGTGTGACAGAAAATAGTGAAGTACTAAAATATGAGCAAGAGTAAACTTCCCTGCACCCAGGTAATTAGTCACAAACACAAATTAAATTCAGTGAAACTCTACTAAATAATTGGAAACATAATAAGAATTAAGATGTGGCATTTAAAATCATGAGAAAACTTGCCTGGTGTAGCTGGCTCTCTATAAGAAGATTCCTCAACAATGTCTTCCCTGATCTCTACAAGACCTTCCTGTTGAAATTTTCTTGAAACTCTTAAAGTGAAAACCAAGTACGTAGTATGATTATCAGTTCTCACCATTAGAAGACCAGTACAGGAATTACTATTGTTCATTCCTTTCAAATCCACAGTAGTTATTTTAAATGATTTATTTCTATTAGTTAGGCCATAAAAACCATTGCATCAATGTGTAATGAGTCTGCAATGATACAAAGGCTCACCTCTGACTCAGAAGCAGTAGTATCAAAAAATGAAGCTTCAGCCTTTAGGTCCTGCATTACAGCTTTTAGATGTTGAACTTGGGACGCCAAATCCTTACCCCTTCTGGTCAAAATTTCAGAGGTCTGTTTGGATGTTCTGTCAGCATAATAACCCTCTCCCAAGAGTACCTACCATTATTGAAAGAACCCATAACATCTTGAATCTTGGTGCAAATATCTTGGAACTTAGGATTATAAAAATAGGTACCATAAATTCATTGGTATGAATCAATCGGCCAGGGAAAAATGCAGCCTTCCCAAACGGAACCTAAAATACCAAAACAATACATCTCACACATTCAAAGTACATTCCCAATATCTAGTATCGGGAACAGATGTATATATATAAATAACAACTTGCCATGATATCGTGGTGGAGTTTGTCGGGAAGGCGCTGAACAAGATCGATGAGGCTTCTGTTTTCAGCGACGAAGTCGTTTAGCTGATCCATCTGTTTCCGCCGCTCGGCGATGGCTTCGTGCACACGCTGCAACGCTTTCTGAGCTTCATCCACCGGAATTAGTGATGAGAGTGACGTCACCGTCCCTTTCACCGGTTCTCCCATGGCTTCGAGTACTGGAATTGGGGAAGAACTACAATCTCCGCCGAATAGCCGGCGTCAGAAAACTAGGAAAGCCCAGTCGCTGTCGGGGTTTTAGAGCGGTTTTTGAACCTACGACGTCGTTTTATCGCCGCATTTAGTACTTCTCGCCTTTTCGAAATTGCCCCTTTTCTTTGCTTTTTCGCTCAATTTCGAGGCCAAAAGTTTATGTTTTTCACCCGCAGCCGATTGGATGATTGTTCTTGTCTTTTCCACCCCGACTCAAATTTCTTTTGCGTACAGAGTACAGCCGCCCTACAAGGAGGGAATCCCAAAACGGCTTTTCCGCCCAGCAACAAGCGTAGAGATAGAAAGTTAACTCTCACTTCTCAGTTCCCAATTCTTTCTCTCTCAACACCTATGCATCCTATTTTCCCTCGATAGATGAACTATCATGTTTGATCGGAACTTCTTTCAATAACTACTAGTAGAGATGGATTTCTGGTTTGGAAATTGAACTGTGAAGACCTCTCTTGTTTCAAATGGAAATTCTACTGCTTCTTAGTAGTAGTTGAGCTCTCAACCTCTTGATCGTTGTTTTCGGTGTCTCATGTGGTGGTTGTCGTGGTTGGGTCGCTACCTTCCAATTTGACTTCTTTTCAAGCAACCTAACTTCCTCTCTCTCTGTCTCTGTCTACAATTTTATTCTAAATACCCTATCAGCTAAGCTGTTTCGTGGAGGAGAAGACTTGAAACTGTTTTTGAAATGGGCGCCTTGAAAAGATTGGATCTTTGGGGTGTGGGGAGAGGAAATTGTGAGATTTTGCTGAGATTTTCGTGGGTTTTGTATTTTGCCTTTTCTCTCTTCTGTCCGGCGATTGCCCTCAGACCTTTAAGGGAGAGGTATCAGTCCTGGGGTGACGAGGTTAGCGTTAATAAAATATCCTTTTTATCTTCATTACTCTACTTAATAAGAAAAGCTATATTGAATTCCTTTTTTGTCATAGTTGCACTCAATTTGGTGTAGAATTCATTCGGTCATTGTATGATACTATTTTCTTCACACTATGTAACATAGATTTTTATTTATGAATTCGAAACGTAAAAATGTCACTTTTCATCGGAAATTGCAGCCAAACTTTCTGCAATCACTATGTTTATAATATATTGATATATTTAGATCATTTTTTGGGTTTGTTGATATAAAGATTGGAAATTGCAGCCAAACTTTTCAGTGGCACTTTATGAGTAGACTGTTTTGGAATTGATATAAAACCCTGTGAGACCATTGAAGGTTTTGCATTTTAGAAAGATACACTTGGTTCTCCCTTTTAAATCTTGTGTGATTCTTATGAGGAACTTTGATTTTAGGGATTTGCAAAGTCTAGAACTTTTATTTGAGGTTGTTGTGATTCTGACATTTCCACCCTTGTGCAAATTGGTATATATGGCTATTCTATTTTGATGTCTTTTAAAGTTCACATTTTTACTTTCAACTGGATGTTGCTGTGAGTGTTCATGTTTGAATATGATGTACAACATAATTTCCAGTAGTGTTAGCTTTGAAGTATGGTTTAGGAAGAAAGAAAACTATGGAAGAAACTATGGGTATCAGATTGGATGATGTAATGCAACCATGATTTGATATGAATTAACCAAAAAGTAGTCTGAAAATTAGGAGAAGTTTGGAAAAAGATTAGCAAACCATGAGTGTGTGTGACCTTATACGAGTGTGTAACCTATTAATGCCAGAACTAGCAGTACTTGATTGCCTTTCCTAATTCTACCAGTCTTGTAATTATAGTAGAAGCAGTTCTTTTAACAACGGTATAACCGTATGACCTGGTCCTATATTCTCCTTATATATTGCTCCCCACTACAAAGTTTAATAAGTTTCCTCAAACCATTTCCTAAACCTTTCTAATTCTCTCGCCAGGACATCTGGCCACTAGCAAATCAAAATTTAAAACAATTTTACTTATTATATGTCTCAGGATAACAACTTGTTGTTTATTATTTTTACTGCTGTTGATTCTCGCAGTGGCTCTTCGTCAGGAAGGATGAAAATCAAATGGGCCCATTTTCTGCTTGGAATATCACAGGAACATATAGAGGTATGTAAACATCCTAACCAACAGATATGGAATTCTATGTAGAATTAATTCATTACATGGTTGAATGGGAAGATGTTCTTCACTCTTTCTTCCACTCTGCTTGAAAATTATTATGACTAAAACTAATGCCTAATTCATTATTCTTAGTTGATAACATGATACATAAACTGAATTATTTTGTTTAGTGGTTAATGAGATAGCATGAGAAAAAGGAAACGATGAATTTCCCATGCATAACAAAATCACCTTCCTAATATTATGTGATTATGTCTCATTTGTTTATGGTCTTCCGTCCATTCTTACTCAGGGTCTTGGAGGTTCCTAGATTCAGCAAATATGACTACTAAGTTTCCTGACTTCAGGAAATCTAACGGCAATACTGTCCTTGAATTGATAAGTACTCCAACAAAAATAACAGGTGTACACTATATTCAGGTAATATGATCTTTATGCCCACCTTGTGTTACCCTTATTATTAACCATGACGAAAAGTAATTATATCATTCAAATGTCATCCACTTCTCCTTTTTGGTTATTCAATTCATTTTTAAGTTGTAGTTTGTGTAACTAAAAGTTTACTTAAAAATAGCCCTCACTGCATGCAAGGCAACATAAATATGATTTACTATCACATGTACTTTTTTGTGTGATACTCTTTTAGCTTTCAGTTCTTTTGTATCGATGAATATATCATGAGCTCTTACAAGCTATCACCAAATGTATGAAGAGCACTACATCATCATTCTTCACTAATGATATTTCTCAACTGAACCACTGATTTGAATACACTTACGTTAATATTGTACAGGGGGTGATGGTTTTCCATGATGTTTTTGATAATGAACATGAAGCTACTGGTGCTCAAATTCGTGTAGAAGGTGTATACATATGGCCCTTCAGACAACTCCGTATGGTAGCTTACAGGTATTCTCTTCTTGAAGGCTCATATGAGGTGTTTCTTATAATATTTTCGCTGAACTGCCGGAGGTATGTTTGGATCCCAGGAAATGCTGGGGAAAGAGGATAAACGATAAGGAAAGTTATTTTCTCGTGTTTTAGTACATTGGAAAATTATGTGTAGTTAATATTTAAAAAAACAGTAGTCTTTACAATAGATAATAGAGTAGATAAAAAAATGAGTTTGAACATAAATTTTGTCATCCTTCACTTTTTATATATTTCCACATTTCCCCTATATTTTCTTCTCTATCTACTTTTCACAGTTCCAAACAGACTCCTTAACTATATGTTTTTTATTTGCAGTGGCAAAGAGGGTGAGTTCAGCCATGAAGATGAGTATCTCTTATCAAATCCTTATCACCTCGTAAGGGCTTGGTTATATGCTTTAACATCCATAGGCTATTGCCACATCATCGAATTTTTAGCTTAGAGTTTTGGTTGTCATAAAAATCCCTTAGTCCTTTGCAATTTCAGATGGGTAGATACAGTGCCCAGAAAGTGCACTTTCCTTCTTGAGATTCATTTGAAGTCTGTTTCGAACTCAGAAAATGTAAGGGAAAGAAAATAGGGACAAAAATTGTAGGGGATATTTGGGAGGATATTGTGGCGTATCTGTAAAATAGGTAAGGAAAGAGAATGTGGCATATACATAAAATAGGCTTGAAAAATGTAGGGGATATTTGGAAGGATATTCTTCAAACTCATTTTTCTATTAAATTAAATAAAGATAAAGAAATTTAATCGTAAAAATTAACATTATACCATTTTCTGTGACAAAACCACACAAAAGGAAAGAACACTCTGGCATTATCTGGGAACCAAAAATACCCTTGATGTTTGAGGGTTTTCTGATACAGAATATAAGTTTATGCATTCAATCATGGGTCTAGTTTACCTGATACGTAGCTACAGTGAACTATTTGTTAGTTGTGTGCATGCAGTTCAAATTAACAGTTATTTGTATTAGTTCTACCTGAAGATCTTTGCCCTGACTAAACTGGCCTATTCATGTTCTTTACCAGCTTGGAGTTTTTTCGTCCCAGGTGTTTCAGGAGTCTCCTCGTGATAAAATTTGGAAAAGGAAACACTGTAAGCTATCTTCTTGAATCTTGACCATGAGACAATGTTTTTTATTTTTTTCAGCTAGTGGCTTAATCTGATTGAGTGATTGACGTGTCTGGTTTATGCAGCACCAATTTATGAAATGGAAAAGCATTGTAACATTGAAATTGCCGCACATATTTCCCGCATCTCATCCACCCAAAATGGTACATCTTGTTTCATATATTTATCATGCCCGTGTGTATTCCAGAAACAAGTGAACTTTAAGAAAAGTATATATTTCAACCATTTATAGCATGTGACTTTTATCTTGGATTTCTGTAGTTATGCATTACTTTTTTAAATCGTAGATGAAGATCATGATAGATATCATTTAGAAGGATTAATGGAAAGTCCTTCAGTAAATGATGATGGAGATTGCTTTTCTCCAATCCTATTGAATGCTTCTTCTATCAATGTTGAGGTTTACTACAACAAAGCAGTGAACTACACATTGATGGTCACCTTTGTATCCTTCATCGGTTCTATTTTCTTAAGATTATTGAGTCTATTGACTGTGTTTGGATGGACTTCTTAACTCCATATCTTCAGGTCTCATTTCTTCAAGTTTTATTACTGATTAGGCAAATGGAACACAGTAACACCCAATCAGTAAGAATTATAATTACTTCTTTCTTTTCATCCAAAAAAAAAAATAATTACTTCTTTCTGTGTTACACCTTGTCTCTCTTGAAAAGATAGTTTCAATACTTCGACCTCTTTTTTAAAAGGGTGCTGCCAAAGTTTCAATTTTGATGATTGGGCAACAAGCTATCATGGATGCTTATTTATGCCTTTTGCATCTGACTGCTGGGATACTTGTTGGTAAGTCCGGATTGCTAAATAAAGTATCATTATTATTTATTACTCCATATTATTTAAGTAGTATAAGTAGTAGCAATTCTATAGGTGTTTTAAGATCCAGAGTACCCTTTTTATAAACTTAGTTCTGCTCTTGATGGCAAATTGTTTCCTATGTAATCCATGACAAACATCCCTTCAACTGTTATGTTACAAAACTTACAATTAATGCATATTCAGTATTACAGATTCTGAACTAGCAACATTGAACATTAATTTATAAAAATAAATCACTGACATACATCCTTCTTTTCATGGAAGTTTTAGCATATTAGTATAATAAGAGCCCATTTAGATCCTGGAAAATAATAGAGAAAGATAATTGGAATTTGGAAGGATACATAGAGGAATATAGGAAGGAAAGAAAACATGGGGAAATCAAAGATAGGTTAAAACACAACAATTTTATTTCAGGTATTTGTTGATACTCTTTGTATTTATTTGCCTCCATTATTCAAATTCTAAGAGTTCATGAGTCATATGGAAACAGTCTCTTTGTGCTTTACTATAGGGGTAAGGTTGCATACATCCGACCCCTTTACCCCACTGTAGGTGGGAGCCTTTGCGGCACTGGGGTAATGTTGTTGTTTTTGTATACAAATTCTAACTTCTAAGAGTCTAAGAAATCTATATATGTCTATTTACATTTAAGTTAAAAAGTCATGTTTCGTTGTCCTCACATTTTCAAGGAAAAATCAAACATAAAAAATGAAATTCAGATTAAAAAAAAACATTTATTAGCAGTGTATTACTGTATCCTCTTTCCTCGGCAACTCTTGCTTCCATATAATCACTGCTTATTTTATTTACTATGAAATCTGATGTATATTTGCTTGTAAATTATTCCTTTTATACTTCTAGAGTCCCTCTTCAATGCTTTTGCAACTGCTGCATTCTTCAAGTTTGTGGTTTTCTCGATTTTTGAGATGCGGTACCTTCTTGCCATCTGGAAAGCAAGGAGACCTATGAATAGCGGAGAGGGTTGGGAAGCAATGAGACGTGAACTCTCAGTTCTGTACAGTCGTTTCTGTAAGTTCTATTAGCTAAATGGTATTGTCATTTCTAATTAAATCTTCTAAAATAGCTTTTGTTTTCCTTTTTTAATCTTCAATATACTATTTTGCAGATGGCATACTTTTGGGTGGCATATTGGTCATGTATGAATTTCATAAGTTTCTACGGATCATTCTTCTCCTTTTGCACTCTTTTTGGATACCTCAAATTTTAACTAATGTCATTCGTGACTCGAGAAAACCGCTGCATCCTCATTATATCTTAGGAATGACTATTACTCGGCTAGCAATTCCATTGTATGTCTTTGGCTGTCCTCACAACTTCATGCGCATAGAGACAGACAAGAAATGGTGTGTTTTCTTGGGCATGTTTATGGGCATTCAGGCCTCTATTCTCCTTGTGCAGCACTATCTTGGATCTAGGTGCTTCATTCCTCGTCAGGTTGAACTTTTTGTTTCTTTCTCTGGCAACAACAATATAATACCATTTCTGTCCCAAATAAGAGTCATGTTTGAGAAAAAGACAAGCTCTTACAAGTTATGCAATTTTCATCACGATTTTCATCATGGGTTATATGGAAACAGTGTCTTTGTGCTTTAGTACAGGGGTAAGGTTGCGTACATCCGACCCCCCAAACCCCCATTGGGGCAATGTTGTTAGTTTTGTTGTTGTTGTTGTTGTACTGTTTTGAGTAACTATTGAATCAACAACATCCCAGCCTTAGCCCCAAAATCCGGACTTTATTTTTGGTACTCAAGATTCTTGAAACAAGACTTTTTTTGGGATGGAGGAAGTAATAAATATATTGTGACATGAGCACCCACAAGATAGAATTTAAAAACATGTTTGATAAAGATAAAATTTGGTTGAAATGACAAATTAGGTTGAATTTCTTAACATTATGGTTGAAATTGCTGAACAGACTGAATTTTCTAAATTTATTTATAATTCTTTGAATGAATTAAAAATAATAATATCTTTGAAAAGTTGTGACTTAATCCAAATGATTTTGTTTTGATATTTCCTTTGAACCAGTTATGTAATTGGGACTGTTCATGTGGTTGCATTTGTCAAGCCATATTCATCTATACATAGGGGACCTACTTTGGATAAATAAGACATATTTGTTTCCTTTTTTACTTTGTTGGATGTTTATTCCCATGCAAGAATAAGAAGATGCATTGGATTTTACTTCAATGAAATATGTAACTGGTCTTGTGCAAAATATTATCTTGAAATTGCAGATTTTGCCAGAGAAGTATAGCTATTATAGAAAGTTTGATCCGGATAAAGTTCAACCTATTGACTGTGTTATATGCATGACCTCCATTGACCTAAGTCTGCGTTCGAACGATTGCATGGTACTGACAGATCATATATCATATTATTATTTTCGTCCTCTGGGATCTTCTCTTATTTGTAGGGTATAACTGGAAATAACTATATTGTTCAGGTGACGCCATGTGATCATTTCTTTCATTCGGGCTGTTTACAAAGATGGATGGACATAAAAATGGAGTGCCCCACTTGCCGGCGGTCGCTTCCTCCAGTCTAAGCAGATTGTATTGTTTATATGTTTATATGTATTACGGAGTAATACAGCTCTGCTGAACAATGGCAACCCTAGTAGGAAAGGTAAAATGAATTTGCACAAGCTCTTGACTTTTCAGTTATCACATAACTACTCTCAATAACTGATTGCTAAAAGGAAAATAGCATTTTTGGGTCCGGTAGTTTTTCTGCTTTCTGTTTTTTCTTTCATTAAAAATAAAATTTTGAGAGCAGTTATCTTCAGTTTTTTGTTGGCAGTTTTCCTTTAATATGATATATGCATAATTATCTTCTAGTTCACTATACAACCTATATCACATTTTTTTGTCAAGACAACCTATATCACATATTATCATAAACCTTTTTAGAATAATAAAAAGGTATAATGATGGACATGTTTTTCATTTTTTGTGTGTAGTAGTCCCTCAATTGCTGTTATTTAGATCTAATTAGTCCCGTTTAAATTACTGCTTGCTGCGTTAAATGTTGGGGTTTATGTGTTAAAAGTTTTGAGTGAATTTAACGGCTGGACTAATTGTATATTTGTATCTTCTAAATTAGAACAACAAAGGAGCGCTACATTTACAAAATTTGAAAGACAAACACAGATCCCAGATACATAATGTCAAAACAATTGCAGGGCACTCAAAAGCACAAATTTCCATTTTTTTTCAAAATTCACCAACTACCATATTGAAGAGTATATCATGTTGTGCAGTTTGTTTATGCTTAAATTAAACTTGAGAACATTTTCACTCAGCTACAAGTCTGTATTTTTTTCCAGGTATAATGTGATTATGCTGAAGTCGGCTCGTTTAGACACCCAAACTAACGTAGGAGATTGCAATCTTGAATGTACACAATACTCATGAAGAAGAGTTCATCAACGCATTGCTTATCTTTGTAAATTTTAGTTCTTTCTATTCACAAATATTAGATTTACCTCTGAGAAGAAATGAAGAATGTGACTTCTGAAATGCCATCAAGAATGGTTATAGATTCTTGGTGTTCACAAGCCATAGTGTACATGCACTCTCAAGGATTAATAATAAAAAGCTCAAAATATTTGTGCTTTAAGGTCCTTTGTTTTTTTCTATCTTATATTTCAGTCTCTACATTTCAAATGCAATAACTATGCAGGAACTGTAATGTTGTGGAAATTCCGACTTATACATGAGACATTTTAAAAGAAATGAATGTTGGCACTTTTTGTCCGTTAGTTATGGACTCGTTTGAAAATAGGTACCGAGTTAATTAAATTGTAATTGGCAGTATAAATGGGCAAATTATACCGTGTTACCGGTATACCATATGCATGGTATACCGGTACATGGTATACCGGTACCACATACGGTGCCGTTTTTCCACTTTTGAAGCATTATATACGTTTCTTTTCTTTTCCTTCATGCCCTCTAGGTTTGTTTGGAGCACTATTTCCTCTCTTTATTTTTCTTTTTTGTTTTTTTTCAATTATTTTCACCTCCATGAAAACACTGAAAACTAATTGTGATTTTATTTATCTTTATCTTTAATTAATTAAATTAAAATTGAATTAATGTTTTTCTTTAATTACCAATTTATTACTAAATTTCTTAACTTTTTTCTTTAATTACAAATTTATTACTAAATTTCTTAATCCATATAAAATAAGTACTACCAAATTTATTTTTGGTGTAATACTTTTTTCATTTATACACTTTTTTTTGTAAAATATTTTTCATATTCATACACTTCTTTTATAATATATTTTTTTATCTCTTTTATATGCTTGTAGTTTTTTAAGACATTAAGTTTATTTATTTCGATTTAAATTTGATAAAACATGAGATTACATTTTTCATATGTGTGGGTTATGTTACAATTTCTGAAGTTACATTTGATAGTATATGGAGTTACATCTTCTTGTCCACGAGTTACATAAACTCGTTATGGGTGAGTTACATCTTTCTATGTAGGGATGGACCCGGGCCGGTCCGGTTCCGGTTCCGGGCCGGGCCCGGGCGGGCTTTTTTTGCAAAATGTTGGGCCCGGAACCGGCCCGGGTTGATACCGGGTTCGGGCCGTGCCCGGGTCAAGTTCAATTTTTTTTTGGTTTCCAATCAACACCCGACCCCCCCTTCACCCCCCCAACCCCCCCCCCCCCCCAAACACCCAACCCTAACCTAGAAAAGGAAAAAAAATTGAAAAAACAAAAAAAAATTGAACCGGGCCCGGCCCGAACCGCCCGGGTCGGTTCACCAAAAGTTGGGCCCGAGCCCGGCCCGCCCGACCCGCCCAAACGGGGTAAAAGCCCGGAACCGGCCAACCGGTCCCGGTCCGGGCCCAAACAGTAACGGGCCGGGCCGGTTCCGAGTCGGGCCAGCCCGGTTTAGTCCATCCCTATTTCTATGCATGAGTCACATTTGGATTTGCCTCAACAATTTACATTTTGCATACACCTACGTTAAATTTTCCATCAATGCGAGTTATATTTTTCATAACACGAGTTACATCACAAAATAAACTAATGCTATTGAAACAAAAAAAAATCTTTTTTTTGGCATTTTTTTTGGATTTTTTCTCTCTTTAAAACATTTTTATGGCCCTAATATTAAAAACAAAACATATTCACTATTTACGTGAATTAATTAAAAATATTAAACTCCTTGTTTTCAATGTTTACATTTAATATTATATGAAGTTACATCTTCTTATGCAAGAGTTACATCTGTTTATGCGTGAGTTACATCTTAATGTACGTGAGTTACATTACGAAAAAAAATCTGTTTTAACTATATCATTTTTATAGCTCTAATATTAAAAAAACTTATTCACCGTTTACAAAAAGTAATTGGTCAATAAGTATCAATTTTACATTGTAACCAATGTTTATATATATCAATATTCTATATAATTATATCATTTTTATGGTCCTTATATTAAAAATAAAACATATTCGCTAATTACAAAAGTAATTTAGTAATTAGGACCAATTTTTCATTGTTTACATTGAAATCAATTTAGTTTTTTGTTATATTTCTTTTTAGACCACTTACATTTAAAGGTTACTCAAGTTACATTTCTTATCAACGTGAGTTACATTTTTTTAAACGGGAGTTACATCACCCTGCCACTGGAATACAAAATAAAAAGTTACTGTTCATCCGCGGGTATTGTTCATCTGTGTTTTATCCCTGGGAGCATGATGTTCATAGTGGGCCGGTACCACGGTATACGGACTGGTATAAATGAGTAGCAATTTGTCCACGACGAAAAACGTTATTTTATTTTATGTGATTTATTAAGTATAGTACTCCTTTATCCCACTATATTTGTCCCATCTTTCTTTTTTTATCCATCCTACTAAGATTGTCTCATATTATCTTTGTCTCATTAACATTGGTACACGAGGAGGTAGTGCATTTATTATGAAAAGTGATTTTTTTGCTGATATCGAATTGATATTATGAAAAGGAAATAAAGAATGATTTAGATCTATACAAATTTGTTCACTACAATAGGGTTGAGCACATTATTTAAGGATGAAATAGTAGGAGTAATGAATAGTGTAGAAAAAGTATGATAGATGGTAGAAAAGTATGAAAGAGAAGATAAAAAGTAGAAAAAGTAGGAGTAATTGAGTATTTTTAAAGCCATATCTGGTCAGTTTTTTCACAACTTGCAAAACTGGATTTGGATCATCCAATAAAAAAATATGAATAAAATGGTGGAACGTCGCATCCTGAAATCTCAACAGCGATTATCTGACTTTCTCGTCTTTTTTCAACTTGCTCCTCTCAGATTCTCATCTTGGTGTCTTAATATGATTTGTAGCCCTTGAAGTTTATCTTTCATATGCAACTTGAATCGTGTACTAAATATGTTTCTACAAAAAGATATGCTTGAACGATTGACAGAACGTCATCCTGATTGCCGTTTTCAAGCTCTAATCGTCTTCTTTTGATCCCGTAGCCAATCCTAGAGCTCTTTTGTCTTCAAAACTTCGTCTTTAACACCTCATTGACCTCCAATTATCTTAATCAACTCTCGATTGTGTCTCAACTTTCTCGATTGCTTATCAAACGCCGATGTCGGGCTTAATTCCATGAATTTGACTCTAAAGATACCAAACATACACCAAAACCCAGTAAATCATGACTTGAGCTAATTATGAACCTTGTTACACATTTAAGCTCGAAAAACTATCAAAAACCGATCTCAACACGCATCAAATGTGTGTTGAAATACTAACTTATCAATAGTATTGAAGATGGTGGTATGGCAAAGCTGTGCACTTTACTCGGTCTAGATCCACTTTCTCCTGAGTTTTTATTCGCTTGCTTTATTTTTGAGGATCCCCGGAAGAGGACTATTTTCTTCAGTTTGCCGCATGATGATAGTTAGTTGCATACATTAATTTTACAAAAAAGCTATTTGTACCCACCCTTATACCTACTTTTATACCCACAATGTTTGTGAAAAGTTTGTTTTGTCTGTGAGTTCTGTTCATAGGCAACATTTTATTTGTGCAAAATTTGCACAGACAAAATAACACACATTTTATCTGTGAACCGGATTCACAAACAAAAAAACTTCACAAAGCTGGGTATAAGGGTGTGTACATCAAACATTGTTGTTAATTTTATATATGTTGACCATAAGAAAAGTGCAACTACTGTTGCATAGTCATGGTGAAGTGTATTTTTAATTTTTCATGAGACATATTTGAACATTTGTGACTTTTTGTGAAATTTTTGTTATGTGATTTGGACACAGTTTGAGCATTTATGTGACTTCAATATCTTTATTATTATTGATTATAAAGTAATTTGAAATTTTTACATTTATAATGTACATATTTTATTGTAGGTGATCATGGATAATTACAACATGCGAAATAGACAATTTCTTCTCATGTTTCAGCAACAATATCTCTTATGTCACGAATACTTTGAAATATAGAGTGGAAATTCGAATATGATGGCTTCTACGAAAACTTATATGTGTGAGTATTATTTCAAATATATATATATATATATATATATATATATATATAAGGAGTCGTGCATGACATCCTATATGATTGGAGAAAGATGGATGGATGAGGTATTAAATGTCATGAAATAAGATGTTTCAGTGCGTTTAGAATGACACAAGATACATTCCGTCATTTATGTGGGGATTTAGAGACTTGGTATGGTTTGAGAGCTTCAAGTAAGGTTTCAGTTTTGGAGAAAGTAGGGTTGTTCGTTAGTGTATTGAGTAAGAGTGCTTGCAAAGAGATACCCAAAAACGTTTTCAGCATTCTGGTGAAACTGTGAGTAGAATTTTCAAAGAAGTTTTGAACACTATGGATGGACTTTCTCGGGACATACTTGTCCCAATAGATCCAGAATTCAAACAAATTCCAACACAAAATCGCCAATGATGATAGATATATGCCACATTTCAAGGTAAGTGAGTAAATATCTGAAACAAAATGAAATTATTATGAAAATATTAACTAATCATATTTATTGAATGCTTTTATAATAGGACTGTGTCAGAGCTATTGATGGTACCCACATTGTAATAACTGTACCTGCGGAAGATCAAATGCGCTATCGAGGAAGAGAGGGAACACCAACCACAAATGTTCTAGCAGTTTGTGACTTTGACTTTGTCACGCCCCGAACCGCATCCGGGCCACGTAGACAACCGCCGTACAACCCGATAAGAACAACAACACTTCATCCCTATTGAATTGTACAAGGCGTCCGATTGATTCTATTGCCAAACCGATTAGTACACACATACAATCAACATCAATATCATAATCAACAAATGCGGAAATAATAATACGTTTAATACTTAGCCACATGTGGCAAACACGGGCACGCAGGCCCCCTACTGTTTTAAAGAAAACATTATTCGAAAATCCATGAGCAGTTTATAAATTTGAAATAAGAATGGAAGCACGAACCACGTCTTCCTTCTTGATCAATCACCCTAGGCAAAGGTGCAGGTAGTAGGACTCTAGCCTCAACCTGAAAAATGTGAGGGCCCTCCAGAGGGGTCAGTACTCCATATAAGTACTAGTGACAAGCAGACTATATGAAGAATAACTAATGTTTCAGACACGAGACCCAAAAATAGGGTGATACATACATACATATATACATACATACATACATACATACATACATACATACATATATATATATACACATATATATACAC